GGAAAAAATGTATCTGTAGTGTAAACAGTTCCTGTTTTCGAACTCGTACCAAGACGGTCGTATGCTTGCCCTGTCGACATATTCGCCAACGGCTGCCCGTCGCCCGCTGGTAAGTGTTGACACTCAGCGTGTCGAGTATGTGCGGGTGCGGTATCGCACCAGTTTCTATAGATAGACTCCCTATTTCTTCGGGTAACCTCCTACATTGTGTTTACATAGTCTCCGAGTTGATGATGATAATGATATAAGATTAGAATCTTGATTCTTATTTATTAAGAGTTAAGACTACTGACTATATCTCTGACAGACTATTCCATCGGTACATTGTTCTTCCTGGAAAAATGATGTATGAGGTACCTGGTAGTGCGCCACAGATTGTGTGTGTCTGTGTGGGGAGGGGGGCAATCACACTCACACTGATTGGGGTCACACCACGTGTAGTGTATGGACTGTGGTGGATTCACCTTGTGTGGCAAAATGGGAGCTCTCGCTCATTGTGTCATACGTCATGACACGTACGTGCCTCCTCCAATACATTATCCAATGGAAATTTAATTGTTTATAAATGTTTGGACACTACCGATACGCATGCATCATTTAATAGCAGACTACTTTTAACATGCCATGCTACAATTGTAAATTCTAGTAAATATGCTGTGTAATAGTTTACGAGTAGAAAGGAATGAATGGATTGATTTTATGAAGATGTTGGTAGCATTATCAGCCTACACTGTATGAAGCAGTTTGGTAAACTAGCGAGATGGCCTACCGTTGTCTTTCCAATGCAGCAGAAACACTGCTTTAGTATGTAATTGATATCTTGATATACATGCAATCATCTGGAGTTTATCAGACATGATTCCGACACTTTCCATAGTCAAGAACCTAGTTATTGTTTAACCAAAATTACTCGTTGAGCATTTAGTATTAACTAGTATGCTGGACTCTGAAGGCCTGCCGAGGTATTCATTATAATTTTTTAGGTATCAAAGTTAGGTATCGTCGACATCAGTAATGTACACCCTGATGACATCACCTGCATGGCTGTCGATACCCATCTTGTGTTCACGGCATGTGGGAAGATCTGCCGTGGATTTCTTCGTAGCAGGCAGGTCAGTCCATCTCACGCACCCTAGCAATTAAACGATACCCTCGAAAGGATCAGAATGCATGCGGCTGTGGCTGTTTTTCATTTATATCTAAAAACTTCATTGAGGAAAAGAAGTGTGTAGTCACCCCCATGACGTGTACTTAGTTTTTAGTACACACTTTGCCTTTTGAGCCAGCTTGTATTAAATCGGGCTTATCTTCATGCCAGTATATCTTAGCATCTCGCCAGTGAGTATAAGAATGTTTGTTTTTGTTCCCTGCAGGTGGCGCATGTGTATGAGGGACATGAACACGACATAATTCTACTGCTGCCCTTCAGCAAGCATCTCATTACTATTGACGCGAAGAGCTTCCTGAAGCTCTGGGACATACAATCACATGGTATGATCAGTAACGTAGGTTTGGAGTCAACACAACTCTATTAAATGCAGGAAATAGTGTATGATGTTAGTATCTAGTAATTCCCCTATCCATAGGGTGTGCATAATTTAAAGGCTGGTAGTTTTCTTTGTGGGGTTACGTGCAGTTTCTTGTTTCCTATCAGATGTCTACCTGGAGTTGTCATTTGACCAGAAGTTTTTTGAGATAACGGCATTGGTACATCCGGCGACATATCTGAATAAGTTGCTGTTGGGCAGCAAGCAAGGAACCCTACAACTCTGGAACCTCAAGACTAGCAAGCTGCTGTACACTTTTGCTGGCTGGGGGTCAGAGGTTATGGTGTTGGAGCAGGTAACTATGCAGGATGGGGATGGTTCCCAGCATGGCTGGAACTGGCAAGGACATGGCTAATAACTAGGCCAGTTCATGTAGGCTAGTGCATGTATAATATATTGTAATTAAGCATGTAGTGCGGCTTACGAAGAAGTGCGAAGAAGTTTGAATTCTTCTAAGTCGCATGTTTACAATATATATTATGCACTCCAAGTTCCAAATCCAGTACTCAAAACACGTCACTATACTACTTAGTAAATTTCACCATCATCTAACAAAGTGTTAGATATATAAAAAATAAAAATGTTCACTGAAATTTTTGAATATATATATATTCCCCGCGTGTTTAGAAAATCTCTTTGCAATTGTCGACTAGAAAACTGCTGACAAAGAACGTGTGTATGATGTGTAGGCACCAGCTGTCGACGTCGTGGCCGTAGGATTGGTAAGCGGGGACATCGTTATACACAACATCAAATACGACGAGACAGTGATGAAGTTCACGCAGGACTGGGGAGCAGTGACCGCTCTCACTTTTCGAACAGGTGAGAGAGACGACTAGTTGCTCCCTACTTCAGCTGCTCTCACTATTTTACATGGAGGGTAAGGAGGTTGGGCCGAACGAATGTAATCTTTATCCGTACGTGGTTTCTGTTTTAGATGGGCATCCGATCCTCGCTAGTGGCAGCACTCCTGGTCACATTGTGATGTGGGACTTGGAGAAGAAGAGACTGGCGTGTCAGATAGAGGGCGCTCACAGTTCGGCTGTCACAGGAATGCGGTGTTTGCCATCGGAACCTCTGATGGTCACATCTTCGGCTGACAACAGTCTGAAAGTAGGTCATAACTAGAAATGATCGAACCGAGCGAATGACACCAACCTTGTAAGAAGAGAGAGAGAGAGATTGCTGAAATTGTGAAGCAGCGTTGATAAGGCACGTTAAATGTGTCCAGCGATGGAAGATCCGTCTTCCTTTAGTATTCTTGGCTATGAGATGATCTCACTGCTGCTCTCTCTCTTTCTCTGCATACCTAGGTGTGGAATTTTGTTCTACCTAATTAATCTACCTATCTAACTGTCACGTTAAATGTGTCCAGTGATGGAAGTTCTGAACCATCTACCGCTAGCATTCTTTGCTATAAGATGATCTCACTGTTGCTCTCTCTCTCTCTCTCTCTCTCTCTCCTGCTCTGCGTACCCAGGTGTGGATTTTCGACCTACCGGACGGCGGCGCAAGAATTCTTCGGCATCGTGAAGGCCACAGTGCGCCGCCGAACAAGCTGCGTTTCCACGACAACGACGGAGAGCAGATTCTCAGCGCAGGTAACCTCTGGGGAGGTCGCCGTCGAGCGACCGTAACCGCTGCCGAGGATTCTACGCAAAACAGATCGATTGTTGACAGATAAATTATCTGCAATCACCGTGTGATACGCGTAATTTGCCGCGTGTTACGTGTTTGCAGTTGCAGTCCTAACTAAAGTTACGTGCAGTTCTCATCCAACGCGCGTCTGTGTTGCGTGTTTGCAGGACAGGACAGCGTACTGCGTCTGTTCAGCACCGTACACGACCGACACAACCGCAGTCTCGGGCGCGCAAGCAGCAACAAGAAGCTCACGAAGAAGCAGGGGCTCAAGCTAGATGAACACATGATGCCTCCCGTCACCGACTTTGCTTCAGGTATAGTGTCTGCATGACAATCGCGGGGCTCAGAGATGTTAGTGGAAGTGTAGTTATAGTTTTGAACCACGTGTGACCCAGCAAGGATTCGCGCTGTCGATGTTAGTGAGAGTATAATTATGATGACAAGTCATGTGGGACCCAGTAAGGATTTAGACTGGAGGCGATGGTGAGAGCAAGTAATTAAGT